CCCCAAAACCACCACGCCAGGACCGTGACGTCCAAGTTCAACGAGCTGGTCTACCAGTACCCCATCCGCATCCCGGAGCGCTACTCCCTCGTGATCCGCAGCCTGCTCACGCAGGAGGGCATCTGCCTCACGCTCAAGCCGCAGTTCCACTTCCTCGAGGTCGCCTACCCCTACGTGGCCAGGTGCGCGCGCGTGTGCCCGCCCTTGCATGCGCAGGTGCTTGTGTGCGTGTGGATCTGCCTGCGTGCGTGCCTCGACACTCACATGCTGGCTTGTGTGAAAGTGTGCGTGCACGCTTGTGGTGCATGCGTGTGTACGTGCGACCTCGCCGTGTGCCTCACCTCCCTGCGCGCCTGCACATGTTCAGCCAGGTACCACCTCACCTCATCTCCAAACCTCACCCTCGTCCTCACCTCGTGCGCACCTATCTAAACCCTACCCATCTAACCCCTACCCCTCTCCTAATCCCTGCCTCCCGTGCCGCGCAGGCGCCTGCTGACGGACTCTGACCCGGCCCTGCGCGACCGCCTGGTCCAGGTGCTGTTCCAGGGCAACAAGTTCCAGTGGGCGCGCCTCACAAACCTCATCCAGCTCGCCAGGGACGGCCCCGCCAGCAGCGCCGCCAACGCCAACGGCCCGTCAGCGGCCGGCGGCCTCGACCTGTCGGACACCGTGCGCGACGCGGTGCGGCTGGTGCTGACGGACGGGAAGCTGCGCGCGCAGCTGATCGAGGCGCTGACAGAGGACAATCGCCTGCACGTGGACGAGGTGGCCAAGCTGGTCGGCATGCTGGGGCCGGGCGTGGACCCCGCGCGCATCGTGGGCTCCGTGGTGCGCGACCTGCCCACCCTGAGCCGACAGGTCATGCTGTCGTGGGCAGACAGGGTGCTGGTGTCGTGAGCACACTCTGGGGTGCAGTTTCGCCACAGGGTGCGGTGCGGCATGCCCGCGCGGCGGGCCGCGCGCGGTCGCTGCGCGGCGGTGTTGTTGAAACATGATTTCAGTCCTTTCGAGTGTGAGCGAGTGCTCGAGTGATGCCGTGCAAGCGGCGGGGTTTCGAGCGGCGGCTGGCCGCAGTTGCGATCAAGTGTTCCCGGGTGTGTTGATTACTCAGGGTTGTGGTGCTGCAGCGTCGACGAGAGGGCGTGTTTCTGCCGAGCGTGTGCCTTGCCCATTCTGACCTCCCCGCCCTCTCGGCCTACGCGCGCATTCCTTTTTGACAACCCCCCTGCCGTTTGCGTCGTCAGCCGACTCATCCCCCCGAAGCCCTGCGCTACGCGAGCGCTCGCTGTGGCAGTGCGGCCGCGGTGGTTGTGGCGCGAGCCCAACGCTTTCAGAACCCAGGCCGTTGAAAGCTTGGGTTCTTGTATTTGTGCCCTCTTGCTGATTTGAGCAAGGCTGCACTTGCGATCGCACATGCTCAGGCCGACCCGACCCTGTTTTATCATTTTAGCCTGCTGATCCCTGACCTTGCCCCCGATTGGTGGCACAAGGTCGACACGAGCGCCGCCCAAACATGCCTGAGGGTACCTGCCATGTGGCACGCTCTCTCCTGGGGCGGGCGCACAGACCTGGCACCACCTCCCCAATTGGCTGGCGGCGCCTGGGCTTTGGGCGCGTTCACCTGCACCAAAGCGTGCCAAACACACCCATTCACTGGCACGATAGGTTCTATCGCTTTCTCTGTATTGCACCTCTGCCGTTGGCAGCTGTGCGTTTCCTCGGATCGTAATCGTCAAAAGCAACTCTGCAATCATGGTGCAGCGTGTGCGCGCAGGACCCTCAGGAACTGGGTTGACCACAGTGATTGCTTGGTCAAAGGCAAGCCAGGAATATGGGTAGCATGCATGGCGTGTTGCCAAATGTGACGGGCACATTGTGGCTCAGAACGGCATCCTGATGGGAGCAGCAAGAGCATGCATGCTGCCAGGCAGGTGGTGTGGTACCTACTCGGCACGGGTAATCGGTGCGCTGTGGGATCGATGAGTCTTTGAACCAAGCGATCACGTCAACAACTTCATTCACTTCGTCGCGAGCATCTGCATGTCTTCTTACCTACTCACGCACCAGGAAAGCCAGGTCTTGCATCCGGCATACAGCACCACGAGTCAGGCCTTCGTGGTCAGCGCCCTCCAGCCGTGTATACACGACTTAGGCGGAGCATAGCACACGATGGATCAGCGCTTCGAGTTTGTGAGTGGCGGAGGCACCTGCTGTGGGAGCAAGCCCCTGCGAGGTCGCTCGACTGACCACGGCCCCCTGGCGAACGCAGATCCGTGACATAGGGAGTGGTAACTTTGGAGTGGCGCGACTGATGCGCGATAAGGTCTCGAACGAGCTTGTGGCCGTCAAGTTCATCGAACGAGGGTCCAGGGTGAGCCGGGGTGGCTGATCGGGTCGCAGAACAACATATTGAACCTCCATGCCGGGCACAGGGACTCGCATGACGCGTGCGTGCGTGGCTCCACCCCCGCAGATCGACAAGAACGTGGAGCGCGAGATACTCAACCATCGGATGCTAAACAATCCGCATGTTATAGCTTTCAGGGAGGTGAGGATAGCGCGCGTGGTGTGTCACGCAACCACATGCCAGCGCAACGACGTCGCCCTGGGCTCCCGACCCCCTGGAGGGGGGGGATGCATTCATCTAGCAGTCCAGCAGTGTGCAGCGGCAAGCAAGGGTCCTTCAACAGGGTAGTTGTGTAGGCATCATTGCCGTCTGTAAATAAGGCAGCAGCTCTTCTATGAAGAGCTCTTTGTGAGGGTGAGACGGCTCCCATCAACTGAGGCTCATCAACACTCTGCCCCCTGACGTGCAGGTTTTCCTGACGCCGACGCACCTGTGCATCGTGATGGAGTACGCGGCGGGCGGCGAGCTGTTCGACCACATCGTCAAGGCGGGGCGCTTCAGCGAGGACGAGGCGCGCTACTTTTTCCAGCAGCTGATCTGCGGCGTTGACTACTGCCACAGATCGGTGAGCCGCCAGGGCCGCGGCGCAGCGCGGCGTGCGCGACAGCAGCTGAACAGTAATGAATGCCCAGCGGGCGGGCGGGGACTGGAGCGACTTTTTGCATGCTGGCCGGTGCGGCTGCCCGCGCTCTCAGGCTCTGGCGGCTCGCATCCGCCGCTCCGACCGGCACAGCTCCGGCCCTGGCGCCCCTGCCAGATGGCCCCCAGGGCACAACCCTGAGCCGCGGCGCCGCCGCCGCTGCGCTGACTGCAGGGCGTGTGCCACCGCGACCTGAAGCTCGAGAACACACTGCTGGACGGCAGCCCCGCGCCGCGGCTCAAGATCTGCGACTTTGGGTACAGCAAGAGCGCGCTGGACAGCCAGCCCAAGAGCACCGTGGGCACGCCCGCGTACATCGCGCCAGAGGTGGGCGGACGGCAGCGGAGGGCGCGGCGGGGGCGCTGGGTGGCAGGGCCGGCGTGCATGCGTGCTGCCTGGAGTCGGTCGAAGGGAGTGTCGGATGGAAGGGTGGGAGGATAGAGTTGCTGCTCGTTCCCTTCATACGCTTTGTTGTGGAGAGATCCGCATCCGTGGTGGCAGCAGCGGCCGGGGGCAGCAGCAACGGTGGCAGCAGCTGCAGCAGCAGCAGCGCCGGCAGCTTCGGCAGCAGCGGTGCGGCGTGATCGCAGCAGCTGGAGGAGGGTCCTGTATGCAACCTCCCTCCCCCCATCACACACACACACCCACGCCCCCCCCTCCTGCACCTTCGCCCCCCATCCGCAGGTGCTGCAGCGCACCGCGTACAACGGGCACACCGCAGACGTCTGGAGCTGCGGCGTGACGCTGTACGTTATGCTGGTGGGGGCCTACCCCTTTGAGGACCACACTGACCCCAGGAACTTCAGCAAGACCATCAAGGTTGACCGCTGCTGGGGTTGATCGCTGCCCTGCGCGCCGTGCCGCATCGAGGGCGTGGGGACCTGACAGGCAGGAGGGGCGCAGGGGTCGCGAAAGGGGGCCCCCCTGGAGGCGGTCCCACCGGCAACCCCAGTGGCACCGTTTGCCGGAGCGTCCATATGCACCCGCCCCCAAGGCGAGTCCGCCCCGCCCCGCCCGCCTCTTCGACCGCCCCGGTGCCTCGACTGCCCCGCGTCCCAACCCCCTCTCTCCCCCGCCCCCGCCCGCAGCGCATCATGGCGGTCAAGTACGCCGTCCCCCCGCAGCTGCGCATCAGCGCGGAGTGCCAGGACCTCATTGCGCGCATCTTTGTGGCCAACCCCGTGCAGCGCATCACGCTGCCGGAGATCAAGCAGCACCCCTGGTTCCTGCGCAACTTGCCGGCAGAGCTCGCGGTGCGCGCAGGCGGCGCGGACGGGTCGGCGGGGCGCGTCTGGGCCCGCAAGCGCAGGGGCGCGTGTGCTGTGCGGTGGGCGTTGGCGGGGCCGGGTGGCGCGCTAGTGGAGCACGCACCTTTTCTTTGCTTCCGCGCCCATCTTGAACTGCATGCCAACCCCCCCCAAACGCACGCTCAAACACGCGCACGTCCTGAACATGTGTACGCACGCGCACGCGCCTCCACACTCCCTCTCATACCCACGCATGCACGCGCACACACATGTGCGTTGCAATGCAACACACAACTTGCGACACACGCACGTGCAGCCCACACAAACACTCCCTCCGTCTCTGTCCCTCTCTCTCTCTTCCACATACACACACACGTGCACTCACTGTGTGCCTAGCACTCAAACCACTCACTCATCAAACACGCACGTGCGCGCGCACCCGCACCCCAGAATGTGAGCCTGGCGCGCGCAATGCCGGAGCCCAAGCAGACCGTGGAGGAGATCCAGCGGCTGGTGCAGCAGGCGCGTGCCCCCGGGGCCAAGGCGACGCACGAGATTGACCCCGAGGTGGAGCTGGACGGCATGGATGCGGAGGAGGAAATGATGGCCAGCGTGGGCAGCGGCGGCAACTACGCGGTGTGACAGCAGACACACACAGCGATCCCGCACTTCCTCGCCGCGGCGGTGCGGCCCGGCCGCGTCGCGCCACGGCGGGCCGCGACGGTGCAGCGGGCCGTGGTGCGCCCGCGGGCGAGTGGCGGGTGTTTGGCTAGGGGGCTTGGAGCGCGCGCATCCGCCGCTCTGGGGGTGCGGGCAGGCCGCGTGAAAGCCTCAGGTCGCCTTCGTGCCTGCGACGGCTCCAGCAACCAAGCCCGCCATCTTGCGAACACTAGCGAGCATTCCACGAAACGCCCTGCTTTTCTGCCATCGGCGGGCGGTCAAGTGCTTGGGCCGCGTGGCCGCCCGGCGTGTGTGTGCCGCCACACGTCCTTGCACTCCTCTATGGGGCACTCTGGGGTCCACTTGCGATACGAGCGGCCGCCCTCAGAGCTTTGTATCTCTGCTCGTGGCCACGCCTGTGTCTTTAATGGCTTGCTGTTTCGTTGCAGCTGGGAGGCCCCCCTCCTCTCCCGCTCGCACGGCCGCTGAGAGACGCGCGCCGCCCTGCTGCTAGCACTTTTGCAGGGGAGCGTGCTGTTGGCCAAGGCTTTGGCGCTCCAGCTGCTGCGCGCGTGCCCCAGGATTGCCTTTTTGGCTCGACATTGGCTGGTGACCTCCCCTTCTCTCCCTCATCTTTGGCCTTTACCCCATACGACCCTCAGCCAGACATCTGATGCTTCTGGGCCGTGCGTGACCGGAGCACTTGCTGCCTGGCATCGTTGCACACGGCTAGCGCCTGGAATCGATGCGGACGCGTGCCTGCGTGTGCACTTTGGTCGCTAACTTCTACCGTCAATGCATCCCCATCAAACGAGGCGCGGCCCAGGCCTTGGTCTGGCTACTTTTGGGGGTCCCTGCACTTACTGCCCTGTCCCGCAGCACGCACTTGTTGCATTGTAAGCACCGACACCCCTCATCACAATGTGTGCTGATCAGCGCCTGATCGCCACACCCGGCGCAGGCAGCTCCCACACGCAGGCTCATCGGTGTGAAGGAGCCCGCTCTGAAGGGAAGCAGTATGTGTCAACGGGCAGAAATGCCGCCTCAGCGCGCAGCACTGCTGCAGCGTCAACTGCGAATACACTGCCAAGCAACCCTGTCAAATGGAAAGCAAAGCAGCCTACGGCGCCACGGGCTCCCCGCCCGGACCCAGGCAGTCCATCCCGCGCGCGCTGCTGTAGTGGCAGACCGACCCCGGCGCCAGCGCCGTGCGCGGCGCCGGCTGCTCGGCGACGTCCACCACGAGGTGGATGCGCTCGGCCGATCCGAGGTTGGAGACCCTGTGGGCCACGCGGTTGTTGAGCTCAAACACGAGGCCCTCGGGGGCGTCGAGGCGAACGCAGCGGCCGTCCAGCTCCAGCTGCTGCTCCTGTTGCTGCTGCTTCATTGACTGCTGCCGTAACTGTCGCTGCTGCTGCATTTGCTGCTGCTGCTGCTGCTGCTGCTGCTGCTGCTGCTGCTGCTGCGATTGCTGCTGCTCATGTCGCTGCTGCTGGCTTGCAACACGCGCCGCGTGCAGCCCTGCAGCTGCCTGCAAGGCGGCCAGGTTAGCCGCAACCTCGGAGGCGCGCCGCAGGACATGTTCGGTGTACACAGTGCTGCCTTCGCCGCCCATGCCCCCTTTAAATTCCGGCCGGCCGCGGTGATTGCTGACACCCATTTGAACGGGCGGTGCCGATAGCTGATGGGCTGTCGACTGCGCCGCGGCGGCGGGGGGCGTCTCTGGCGGAGGCGTCCACTGACGTGGAGCGGCGTTGACGGCCGCTAGGCGCGGGTTGGCAGGCAAGTGGTCGCCGGGGCAGGCCTCGAAGATGACACCAGAATTAGTCACGAGGGGCACGTGAATGCGGTGGGCAAAATGGGCGTAACCGCCCGTGTCCTGAGGTGTGTTGAGTAGTGGGAGGTTCACAGGGTGGGGCCCAGGTGTTCGGACCGATGCCCAGGCTGCTGCCGGCTTGGTGTGGGTTTGAGAGCAGAGCAGTGGGCATGCACCGCGCCACAAGGTCTGCACGACCAACCAACAGCAGCCGCCCCTGGCCGTACTTGGAATGCGAGCGCCTGCGCTGACCTGGTGCAGCCGTATCTCGGCTGCGCCCGGCCGCATGCGGGCCAGCTGCAGGCGCACAATGTTGTGGATGTCGATTGGGCCCAGGATCTGCGGCGGGATTGGGCGGGGGTGGCCATCACTCAGACCGCAAATCCATACACCGTGCCAAACAAGCGAGTGCGCATAAAACGTACGCATCCGGCTAGAAATCGAATGGTTGTGTTCAAGCGAGGGTCTCTCTGCGCCTCTCACGAGAAGGGCGCGGGGGCGCTCCACAAGGAGTGACCAAGGGTGGCGCTTTTGGTGGCCGCGCACCTCTAACAGCAGCGGCTCCAGGGTGGGTGCGAACAGCCGGTAGTAGGGGAACTCAAACACCTTGGAGAGATCCTGGCTGGAAAACATCAGCTGCGCGGTGTGGGCGGTGCAATCAGTTGCTTCTGGGGACGTCCATCTCCCACACCTTCGATGGGGCATGCAAAGGGGGATCACAGCAACCGAAAGTGGTGCCTATGCCTCTGTGCCTGCATCCCCGGCCTGCGTCGTTTGGGCAGAGCGCACACCACGATGGCATCCACCCCCGGCTTGAAGCGGTCCATGTTGGCGCGGCGCCCCGTCATGGCGGCGTTGGAGGCGGCCTGGTGGGCGGGGTCCCACACTTCTGGCGGCAGTGAAGCCAGGTGGGCCTGTATGAGTAAGGATTGTTGGGTAGGATACGTTTGGGCATGGAGGAATTTGCTTGAAGAATTGTGCGCTTATCATAGTCATGATGTTCTCTCCAATGCGGGTAAAGATTACAACCCAGCCGGCGGCGACGTTGGGGCTGCACGTGAGAAGTATTGCAATACTGAGAAGGCCGCAATGTTGCTGCGGGTGCAGGGCCGGCCAAACCAGGCGGGTCAGGTCAGCACGTCTGCAGCAGGGCGCATCCAATGGCTCGCCTTGGCAGCCGCCACGTCGACGTGCAGCAGCGGCAGCTGCAGCTGGTGCGCCCACCAGGGCTCGTGCCCTGCCTTGAGGTCCAGCCCCATGAAGGGGAGGCCGCTGGACCAATAGCCAGAGGCCTGCGGATTGGGTGTTCATGAACGGGCCAGATTTGTTTTGAGGCGGGTTGGGGGTGGGACCGAGTACTCTGAATTCATACATGGTGATGCACTTCAACGGGGTGATGTGCGCGTGGCCCTATAGCCGTTGGGGGTCGGGAGTTGCTGGGACTGGTGTTGACTGACGGCGTGGCTGCGGGCGGGTGGCGACTTGCTGACGCTCCCCCTCGTGCAGACAGCTCGGGGAGGGGGCTGCACCCCCCAAAGCACCTGTGGAGGGTACCCCAGCCGCTCCAGCCGGCCCACCGCCGCGCCCACCGCCGCGCCGCCGCCCGCCGCCACCATCCCGCCCGCGCCCGCCGCCGGCGGGCCGCGCTCGTCGAGGGGCGCGCCGCTGTAGACGCCCCTGTAGGACCCCTCCTTCCCCAGATGCGGCGCCGCAATCACGTTGAGCAGCCCCCCCGTCTCGACGCGCCGCCGCCAGATCAGGCGGCCCGCGGTCAGATCGTACGCCGCGATTTCGCAGGCGTGATGTGGGCTGGCGCGGACGTCACGGGGCGCCCATGTCGACACCCCAAAGTAGGCTATGTCGTCCAGAACCGCCAGCCCCTTGAGGAACTTCCCGCCTTCGGGCGCCTGTACGAGGCAGGGTGAGGCCCCGATGTCCGCGATAGGCGCGGGGGCCACGCATTCTAGGCAGCAGTGCGCGCGATGCTACATAAATTCGTTCCGAAGCACAGTGAGCGCCATCACAACTATGGTACATTACACGCATCACGCGCCCCAACTTGCCGCCAGCTGCCACGGTCGAGCCTCGACATCAGATCACTGCTGCTACGCAAACCCAACAGCATGCGACCTCCAAGCCCCCCAGCCCAGACTTCACAGAGCCTTCCAACAGCAAAACACCCCACAAGCCCCTCCGACAACCCCAAAAGCCCCTCCCCCACAACCCTAAACCCCCAAAGCCCCTTGGTAACCCTGACTACAAAAGCCCACCAACAGCACAACATCCAAAAGCCCCCCAAAACCCTACACCCCAAAAGACCCTTCACAACCCTGTACCCCCACAGCCC